AAAAAAAAAAAAGAAGAAAGTTGTAAACAAATTTTTGACTACAAATTAATCTTAGTTTTTTTTTTTTGTTACAAAGATCATACTATATCTCCCGTTGTCCCGGTTTTTTTTCCTTGCAAACTTTTACTGGTTTAAAAATCAGTCATTTTTTTCAGATGGTTGTTTAGTGTTTCGTGATTTCTTGAAAACAGAATTCAGTGTTGAGAATATTGACTTTTGGTTAGAATGCGAAGAGTTTAAGAAGTTAAAAGAGGGTAAAAAATCAACGTTACAACGAGCTCGAGCTATCTACAAGATGTATGTTGAAGTGAATTCACCAAAGGAGGTACAGTATCAGCAATAAATACACATAAAATTTTTTTTAATACAAAAATTACCTTCTTCTACTTCTTTTTTTCATTTTCCCTGTATCTGCTGAAGCTGCTGTTCAATGTTGCTGTTGATACCAATTATGATACTGGTCTTTTTTCTGCAAATTTTTTCTAAACAGAAAAGGGAAGAAAAAAAAACATGAACAAACAACAACAACAATAACAACTATAAATCGTTCAAAAAAAAAAAAAAAAACAAACTTTGATTGATATTTATTTGAACCAGTTTTGAAAATATAATATTTATATTTATTGATCAAAATTAATTGTACAAAAAAAAAAAAAAATTCTATTTTTTTTTTTCCAGGTAAATATTGATGCTGAAGCTCGATTGGCAACAAATGCTGCACTGAATGATGGAGCTAAACGGGATACATTTTCGGAAGCACAATCACAGGTGGAACAATTGATGGAAAAAGACAGCTACAGCAGATTTGTTCGATCAGAATATTTTGAAAAACTTTTGCAAAACTAATTAAAAGTTAATTGTAAAATTAAAAAAGTTCTTTTTTTTTTCTCCCCTTTGATAAATCAATCTGTAACCTATTTTCGTTTCGTATCAATCCCATCTATACAACAACAGCAATTCTTTTCATCAAATCTGTCCATCTAAATGTCAAACCCAGTCACTTTTTTTGTTATTGTCTTGCAAAAAAAAAAATTCTTACATTTATAATTCCATTAAGTTTCTAAATAATAATAATAAAGAAATAAAAAACAAATATAAATATAAAAC